TACATCAGTTAGGCAATACTAAAATACTACAATCACAATAATCTTTAATAGGTATTTTCAGAAGAATAAGCACTGAAACACGAGAGTAATCAAGAGAAAACATGGCTACCAATAGACTGCAAAATATGAGGTGCCATAGAATTTTTTTTTTTACAACATTCATGCAACAAATATGAAGGTGTTGATTACACACAGCAGGGGTGCTCGAGAACACAAGATCTTAAGGAGCAGACACCACCACTACAGCAGGACAAGTACAAACACGCACCTACAGCAATACACAACTAATGACTAACAAACTAGTAAGACAACTAAGAATGCAGTAGAAAAGTGTTCCATCAGGGAAGCCTCAGAGCCACTAGACATGATTATATTTTCAGTATATGCAAAAACATATAGTAGTCATCTTAGTACTATAAATAGTAGAAGATAATGTAGAGCATGGGGGCAGCATTTGTACAAGTGAAGGAAAAGTCAAGATAGAAAATAAAATCGATGACAATAACACCGGTAAGGGCATCATTACATACCAATATCAAAAAGAAGTGTGTTAATTTGATAGAAAATGGCTAAAAATCTGCTGATTTTGTGCATGTGTGTTTGTGTGTGTGTATTATATAAAAAAGTATAGCCAAACTAAGTAGTGTAGTTTATTTCCATTGGGGTCCTTATGTTCTCTTCCCCAGGGTGCTACCCACTCAGTCCATTAACACACTGGTACCTATTTACTCCTAAGCAAACATGGGCAGCACGTACAAGGAAACTTGCTCGTGTATGTTGTCTCGTCCACGATACAACTCACAATAGTTAACTAATATCCAGGTATATACTTGCTGCTAGGTTAACAGGCAACAAGTGTAAGGAGACTTGCCTATACATCTTGGACCCCCTTAGGATTGAGCCAAGATCCTTTTGTGCAAGTTGAATGATCTATGACTTATGCAAAGAAATAAAATATGCATCTCAAAGAAATAAAATATGCATCTTAAAGAAACAAAAGCAGAATATAAAATACAGAAGACTTCTCAAAGTACTGCTAACAGTTACATACTTGTTTACATCAGAATACAGTGAATCCTTGGTTTTTGTATGTCCTAGGTTGTATGTAAAACTATAGTTATTCTCTGTAAAATGTATTTTTTGTTAATATTTCCCATAAGAAATATTGTAAATCCAATTACTCAATTTCAGACACCCAAAAATATTAACAAAAAATACATTTTATAGAGAATAACTATAGTGTTACATACAAACTAGGGCATATGAAAACCGAGGTTCCACTGCTGATGGAAGATATTAAATGACTTTCCTTTACAGAAACTAAAATAATATGCATAACTATGAGCTTCTTCCTTGTATGAATATACAGTTAACCTACTATTTTAACATGAATATAACACTAACTTGTCAATTTCTCTTGAAAACAAATATTTCCCTCAAAGACTAGATGAGGGGAAAATTATTTGATATATACCTTGCCAACAACCTCAGATTCAACAACTATAGAAAATTTCCAAAACCTGTCAACATTTCAAAAATATAGTATGTATAAAACACAGTACTCAGGCTATACCATCTTATCTATTCCCTCCTCACTTCTGGTACAGTATGTATGCTTGCAGATCTACAACAGTTAACCCTTAAATGGTCCAAACGTATATATACGTTTTTTCAACATCTGAAAGTATGTAAAAAAAATTTAGATCTTTTTTTTTTTACATTTGAAAAAGTGTAAAAAAACTTTCCTACATTTTTTTTTTGTTATATTTGAAAATATGTAAAAAAAAGTAGATCTATTGTTGGAGCACTACGAATTTGAGCGTCGATCTGTTTGGACCGTTTAAGGGTTAATCATCTAAAACTCATTACCCAACAAAAATTAGCTATTAGAATAATCACTCAAGCTGGTACCAGACAACACACATCTCTACTCTTCAAAACTTTAAATTTACTCTATATTTAAAACATTCACATCTACCGCTGTGCATATTACATATACAGGACACTAAATATATCAACCCAGCACATCAACTCTTCCCGGAGAGTTACACTATAACACAGACAATACTAGAAACAAGTATCTCTTTGAAATACTGTTTATTAGACTCGACCTGTCAAGAAACTTTGTATAAATAAAAGACCCTAAAATTTGTGACTTCCCACCAGAAAGTGCCAAAAGCACCACTTTAGTTATCAGTAAATTCTTCAGAATTAACTATTTTATAGTCAAATACATCAACTGCGACCTGTTCATCCTGATCAAATCTTTCATAAATCTACGCATATGTTACAACCAAAATTTCACTGTTTTAGCATTAGCTTTCACTAATGTTAAACTAGTGTGCTATATAAAAAAAAAAGTCCGTAGGTTTTAGTTAGTTTTAAGGCTGCATGAAATGCTCTGCATGACCAGGAACTTTCCTGTTAAACTGTGTAACATGTAACTGATTCTTATAACTGTATATGTATACATACTGTATTTACTGGAAATAAGCATTTACATTTCCACTGTCTCGAGTAATAAAGTTATAAGGAGAGATCTATAGTAGAGGCCTGGTCACAGACCGGGCCGCGGGGGCGTTGACCCCCGGAACTCTCTCCAGGTAAACTCCAGGAGTAAAATCCCCAGTTAGTGGTATAAACCAACCCACATGAAGATGATAATAGAGTAGCAAAAGAGTAATGCATATTTCAAACTTTCACACAGCCTACTAACTTGGGCCTCAATGTGATGCCAAAATGCACAGTACTCATTTAAGTGTGATTTTGTCAATGTTAATTTGATTGTCATAATGAATCAATACAGGTAACTCCCAGCATGTGCCCTGCTGAAAAAAATTATATTTAGGGTCTGCAAGTGATTCCCAGGTATGTAGCCTCAGTTTATAGCATTATGCCTATGTGAAATAACTAACTTACAAGAGTGCTTCCAGAACCAAGTAGATTGTAAGTGCAAGGTATGCTATAAACACTCAATATAATGCACTAATGAAAAGCCAAGTCCGAATGTCCATTAAATTAAAAAAAAAAAATAAAAACTAGTACTGCACACACAATATATAGTTATATTGCAATAAACACTAAAAAATAACCATTAAAGGAACAATACAATTTACCCGGTGGATTTTGCCCATTATCTTAAATGTCCATTGTATCAAAGTCCAAAATGTCAAGGGATTACTACAGGAGGGCCCTGCATATACAGCGCCTCTTTTCAGTGTTCAATGTTTTTGTTGGCTTCCAATCAAGCCATTGTTCATTATGATCAGTGCTTTTATTGCTTTTCCATCTTTTTCACACAACAGTTGCATAAGGAAAAAGGAACTGGCACCATATTTTAAGGCAAGTATTGTATGTACTGTGTATTTATTTTAATCTTTTTTTATGTTATAAGACAGCATAAACATGTTATGAGTTTTTTCCACTTGCCACCTGAGAGCTGTACAAATGGGCCCTCCTGTTCATAAAATACAGTGGTACCCAGAGTTTCGGCCATAATGGTTCCAGAAGCCTGTTCGAGTGCCATTACTGAACGAATTTGTTCCCATAAGGAATAATGTAAATTAGATTAAGTCTGTTTCAGACCCCCAAAAATACACTTACAAAAGCACTTACAATAATACACTTACATAATTGTTTGAGTTGGGAGCTGTACAAAACTCGGGGTACCACTGTATGTGTATATACTGTGTATACATTGTTACTGAACTCATCAAGGTGGGAGACAGTGAAGGCAAGGCAGTGCTGGTACAAGATTATACCAATATAAAAACAATTAAGATATAAATAACATTGTTGATGTATTTCATGAAGCAATAAACCCATGTGGATGACCCAAAATACTGAGGTCCTAGTAAATGCTATGATGAGAGAGACATACAGTAATGGGTATGTAGGTGAGGAGGAAGGGTGCCACAGCTCTAAGGGAGCATCACATGCCAAGGGTATGAAAGGAAGGGTACCACTGTATAAGGGGCACATAGGTATATAGGTAAGGAAAGGTGCTGTGTAAGGGGGCACTGTATCATAGGTATGTAGTAAAAGGAGATATCATTTGTCAAATGAAGGTAAGGATGGGTGCCTCTGTGTAATGGGGCATTATGTATCATGGGTATGCAAGGAAGACTGCCACTGCTATACAATGGGGCATCACAATCTAAATTCTAATGCAGACATTGGTAGTCAAATGCCCCTGTAATCTAGTGGCTATAGAGAGACATGGCCAGAGGAAGGCTGTCGTGCAGTGGCCAGAAAGTGGCCTTAAGTTCTCTACACAGTAGTCAGGAGAAGTGTTTAGCCAGAGTGATCATGTCTAAGGATGGCTGACATGAGACAAGACTGACAAGATGAAGCTGACACAAGACGAGGCTGGTTACTTGTGCATCATGGGGAATGCGGCGGCGGGAGGCTCGGCCACTCCGCATTTCTAAAGCTGAGGATCTGCCAGACTTCATAGAGCGACTCCTGATGGTGCTACGCCGGATAAGGTAGCGAACACTGGATCCCACCGGGGAGAGCAGGGCAGCCTGCAGGAGGAAAGAGAAGGGGAGGGACAAGGGTAAAGGGAAGCAGGTGGTATGGGCATAAGTAACATGACTAGGGAGGGTAGGGTAGTGTAATGAGGGAGGGCAGAGGTAGCATTGGGAGGGTAGGGGTAACATAATAAGGGAGAGCAGTATAGTGGTGTTGTGAGGCGGGCGTGATAAAGCAGTGATGTATAGCGACACCTGAGCCACTGTCAACATGGAGACAGCAGCAGAGGACAAACAAAGTGGCGGTGATCATCCTTGTGATGGTAGCCAAGAGCGCCACATAACACTAACTTTGCCATTAACTATGTTAACACCAAGGTAAACGTCCCCTTCACAAACACACACCAACATCGTGTATGTACACCACATATATAATTAACCTACTCACCAAGTTCAATGTTACCAGCATTTTCCTTTATTCCAAAGCACTTAACTATCACTCGTAAAATAGAGAAATAAATCTCTTACCTTGTTAGAGAGGAGGAACTGGGACTCAAAAGCGAGGACATAATAGAGAACGAGGAGGAGGATGGGGTTGAGGAACCTGGACCACTCTGTGGTGGTGAGAGGTGCTGATCTTGGGTCCCGACACTCTGTACCCACCACAGCAGTCAACCGAACACCCTGACCAGCACAAATTACGTATTACATTTATGAGAAGTGTTAAACTCTTAGCAGTCATACATCTGGGAAGTGAAAAGTATTTAGTTTTGATCCAAGGAAGGGGAGGGTATGTAGGTAGTTTTGAAATCTGAAGAACAAAGACAAAATAATAAAAACTACTAACACAAATTAAACACACAAATAAATGCTAATCATCTTTCTTTCAACGTACCAGCCATATCCCACTGAGGTGGGGTGACCAAAAAGGAAAAATGAAAGTTTCTCCTTTTAAATTTAGTAATATTATACAGGAGAAGGGGTTACTAGCCCCTTGCTCCTGGCATTTTAGTTGCCTCTTACGACACGCACGGCTTACAGAGGAAGAATTCTGTTCCACTTCCCCATGGAGATAAATGCTAATATACAAGTTAAAACATCCAACATCAGTTAAAAATACTGTATAATTAAACAAATATCAAGAGAGACTCCTGAGGTTCCTACAGGCACCTCATTAATTTTAAAAACAATGACTCTGGTCAAAAGCCCTAGGCCATAAGTAAATGTTTGAAAATGTGTTTAAATCAATGTTCAGTGAATCAACAAGTTGATAAATTAGACATGTGCAACACTTGGGTATCTATTTTGGAAACATTTTGTCACAAGGGGGCTTCATCAGTCTAAACACAAAAGAATAGTGGAGATCAGAAAGGGACTGAGGCAATCAGTCCCTCAGCCTGGACTGATGAAGCTACTGTGTGGCAAAACGTTTCTAAAATAAAGATACGCAAGTGTTGCACATGTGTTAGAAAATGTGTTCAACCAGGTGCATGCTGGTCTGGGACCTGGATGCCAGGGTGTTGATCCCTGATACTGACTCAAAATAGGTGCTACGAGCTACACACAAAAAAAAATGAAGAGTTAATCAGATGTGATCCAAGGAAGGGGACAGTAGCTCCAGTTGATGGATAGTTTGTGTGGAGATTTACCTTGCACAGAGTGAGTCTGGAGGGATGTATTCCTGGAGCCACTGAGCCTGGTAGATGTACAGACACACTAAGTGTACTCCAGCCAGTATCATTACCCCTCGACACACATACCTGGTGAATATAACACTAGATGCATCTCAGCACCTAGAAATATACCTGCTGCACACAACACTATCACCATTATCTAAACTCACACTCTTCTAAAAAAAAAAAGCCCAAGTTAGTGAAGAATAAACAGGTGTAAATCAGGCTTTTCTCTCGAGAACATTTCACTTTACAGAGCTTTATAAAGTCACTGATTTGTTTAAGCTCTAAACAGAGATTTTGCCACAACAGAGGCTTCCTCTGCACCTGTATCTTTTCTTCATTCCCAGAGTGTACCATTGTGCTCAAAACACAAAAAAGCCAAACAATGTGGCTTATCCTCTTGAAAATCTTACTACACAGTTTATCTCCCATAAACACATCGTCACTAAAATATATGTATATATATATTTTTATAACACACAGGCCATATCTCACCAAGGCAGGGTGACCTAAAAAGAAAAAACGAAGGTTTTTATTTTCAAATTTAGTAATTTATACAAGAGAAGGGGTTACTAGTCCTTTGCTCCTGGTATTTTAGTCACCTCTTATGACATACATGGCTTATGGAGGAAGAATTCTTTCTTCTCCAAATAAATAAAAAAAAATAAATAAATAAATTATATATATATATATATACACACACACACAAGACCCTCATATTACACAGTACTTATGTTCTTGAAAATGCCGTGTTAAATAAGTCTGTTATATAAACTGAAGAACTTATGGAAAAAACAGGGTTACATTCCTGGGACCCCCAAAAGCCTTACAATTTTTTTTTTTTTTAGACATGCACATCTTACAAAAAATGGTAATGTTTTTGTTTCTCAAGACCACAAATGCAACAGAAATATTATTTACATTAAACTGTGGTTACTGGTGTATGTCAGTGATTGTGAAGAGTGGAGATGCATGGTGTGGCCCTAGTAGGCTGAGGTGGATGGTTGTGGGTTGTCAGCAGAAGTGGATGGTTGAGGTTCTGGTACTAAAGTCAGTGGTTGTATTGATGTGCATAAATTCTGTAATGGATCTCTGGCTTCTTTTACCCTGCAGTACATTATACATTATTCCAGAGGCTTAGTACTGCCAGGTTGGAGTTAGAGTCCATTGATGCAACTAATTTTTTCATCACTTTTCTTGTGTAGTTACACTTAAATGACTTAACTCCTTGATCCAGTGGTTGTATTAAAGATGTTGTATTTAGAGGTAAAAATACAACTTTTACATGTGGGGTCACGTCCAGCAAAGCTTCTGGATGAGTACAGGAATTATCAAGAATGAAGAGAGCCTTGAATGCAAGGTTCCTGCTGTGCATGTAAAACTTGACTTCAGGAATAAAGTGATGCTTAAACTGGTCAATAAATTTTTCCTGTCATTCATGCCAACTGGTTTGACATCCGAATTACTGGCTAGGTGTTTTTATCTACAACTTCCAAAGCACAAGGATTCTTAGTGTGGTAAATAACCATGGGTTTTCACTTTAAATTGCCTAATGCATTACCACAAAGGAGCAAGGTGAAGCTATCCTTTGCTGCCTTGAAGCCGGTGCAGTCCCACGGAGACAGTGGTCTCACCCACAGCCAGGCAGCGGCCTGAGCTAGGGAAATATCCCACGGGAAATTCTCCAAATTTTTTCCCCTCCCGTAAACCTAACTGTGTTAATTTTATTAAGTGTTGTATAAAATTATGCTGCAATTTTTCAATAGCCAAATAAATCCATGTAATATGAGAGTCTACTGTATTACCAAGAAATAAGGCTATCTTCTGTCACCTGGCTGAAATGTTTTGCATAACATGGAGCTTTCTAAAAAGTGTACAAAGATATATAATCCTGGAATTAAATAAACACCTTTTATTTTTTGGAAACAAAATTCAAGACACTACAGAGCTGTATTCATCATTCACAAGCAAGATTGTAACCTACCCAAAACGTCGTCCCAGAGAGTTGTTAAGGCTCCAGTAGGTGGCACTGGCCATGAAGACAACGAAGTACACAGCAGAGGTGACAGAAGGAACCATCACAGAAGCTCCTCCAGTCATTGCCATGGCCATGTACGTACCTTGAATACACATACACATGCTTGTACACAGCTATATGCGAGTACACAAAACTGCATATTTATATATAGTGTTAAACCTATGAGTTATTCAGTCTAAGAAGTGGAGAAGGCTTGAGATTCCATCACTTAAGTGAGACAGACATGCTATATAAGTGCTAAAATAGTGTAAAATTCAACTACCTTTAATAAATATATGCACTGTGTACATTTACCAGGACAAGGGTGAGTGACCTGACATGTCAACACCATGAGGTATGGCATGTCAGAGCAATATTCTCCATGCCACAAATCTCACGCATCCCAATAACCTTCATGGTAATCCTTCATTACATAATGAAAATAACTGCTTAGTAATCTCAGCTCCAGCAAACTATTCATTTGTAATTCTTCCTTTAATGACACATATGCAGAAATAAGGTAAAATACACTGTTTAACATTTAAAAGTGTATTATGTGAAGTACTTATGTACCTGACGGTAGTCTTGGTACTGTCTGCTGTACTTACCATATTTCGTGGCTTATAAGACTTGTTTTAGTTTAAATGGCTCGTCATCAGATGTAACTGGGAGACCTACAGCCCACCCAAATCCCCAAACTTACAGCTCCCATCACTGACCTTCAGTTTATATGACGCAGGGTGGTTTTTGGAGACATTTTTACGGAAAAAAACATGCGTCTAATAAGCTGCAAAATACGTTATGTTAGTTAGCAAGGTGTCGCAAGTAACCATGTGGGATTCCAGGTTAAGATATGGGAAAATTTCCTTACATTTTCTACATTAATGATATACAGAAACATCAAATAGATGGATAAGACACATGTGCATCACTTTAGTATACAGTAGAACCTCAGCTTACGAATTTTCCACCATGCGAATTTTTCAGGATACAAACAGTCACCCGATCGACTTTTTGCTTCTGGATACAAACGAAATTTCAGGATGCGAATTTCCCCCTCAAGGTGAGGTTCTTTGGTGAGGGGCTCTTGATCAAGGGAATTGGATCTGTGCTCCACTTCCCTAAATTAATAATAATAAGAATAATTATTATAATACATATGTACTACTAATAATAATACACTGCAGCAGGCCTGTTTGCCCATACTAGGCAGGTCCTTCACAATCCATCCCAACTAACAGAATATTTGCCCAACTCAATTTTCAATGCTATCCAAGCAATGAGCTTTGATAATTCTATTTACTCATATGCAAGTCCCACCCACATCCAACCCCTCTTACTCATGTAATTAGCCAACACAAATTTGAAACTACCCAAGGTTTTAGACTCAGTAACCATACTAGGCAGATTGTTGCATTCATCAACATAAGGAGGAACACTGCAGCAGGCCTGTTGGCCCATACTTGGCAGGTCCTTCACAAATCTAGCCTACTAACAGAATAAATGCTACCCAAGCAATAAGCTTTAACAACCCTATTTACTCACGTGCAAGTCCCACTCAAATCCATCCCCTCTCACTCGTGTATTTATCCAACCTAAATTTGAAACTACCCAATGTTTTAGCTTGAATAACCCTACTAGGCAGACTGTTCCACTCATCAACTACCCTATTTCCAAACCAATACTTTCCTATATCCTTTCGAAATCTAAACTTATCTAATTTGAATCCATTATTGCGGGTTCTTTCTTGAAGTGATATCCTAAAAACCTTATTTATATCCCCTTTGTAAATACCCATCTTCCACTTATATGCTTCGATCATGTATCCCCTCATTCTTCATCTTACAAGTGAATGTAGTTTAAGTCTTCAATCATTCTTCGTACGTTAGATTTCTAAAGCTATGTATTAATTTGGTCATTCTACGCTGGATGTTTTCTAGCGAATTTATATCCATTCTGTAACATGGAGACCAGAACTGAGCTGCATAATCTAGGTGAGGCCTTACTAATGATGTATAAAGATGTAAAATAACCGCTGGACTTCTGTTACTTACATTTCTAGATATAAATCCAAGTAATCTGTTTGCTTTGTTACGTACGCTTAGGCATTGCTGTCTTGGTTTAAGGTTGCTGCTTACCATAACTCCCAAATCCTTTTTGCAATCTGTATGGTTAAGTTCTATGTCATTTAATTTATAAGTACTAGGGTTATGGACACTCTCGAGCTTCAGAACCTTGCATTTATCTACATTGAACTGCATCTACCACTTTTCTGACCAGGTATTGAGTGTCTAAATCCTCCTGAAGTTCCGCGACATCTACGTTTGAATCCATTATCCTACCTATCTGTCATCGGCGAATTTGCTCATATCACTAGTAACTCCCTCATCAAGGTCATTGATATATATTATAAACAACAATGGGCCCCAAGACTGATCCCTGTGGAATGCCACTTGTTACAGATCCCCCACTCGGATTTAACTCCATTTAAGCATACTCTCTGCTTCCTATTGATGAGCCATGACTCGATCCATGACAGCACTTTTTCCCCAATGCCATGAGCTGCCATGGCATTAAATAATAAAGATACCCAAGTGCTGCACATGCGTCTCATTCCTCCCCTTGAATTTGCTGGGTTCCACTCATGAAATCGTAATAACATGATTACAAACACCATGGAACGGGTGGGGTGTGAACCAATAGCACAAGAGTCAAATTCAAGGCCAGTGAATAAGCCATTCTGCCAGCTGGTTCTAGTAAGATTCATCCAATTATACAAATATACCAGCTGGCCCAGTGGCTTACACACGCCTGGAATTTTAAGACTCGTTTGCCATGGGGTTCAAATCCCACCCGTTCAGTGGTTTTAGTGTTCTTGTGTTGTGTTCTTTCAGTATTTTGTAGTTTTCAAAGTTTTTGAGAAGCATTCTAGGAAAATGGTAGTATACGTAAGAGGTCCAAGGTTTGAAATAAGCCGAGATAGATTAAACCATACCCCCGGCCGGGATTGAACCCGCGGTCATAGAGTCTCAAAACTCCAGCCCGTCGCGTTAGCCACTAGAGGTGCCTGTGCTAACCTTCCTATGGTGTAGAAATATACCTAGTTGGATGAATCTTATTGTGGCTAGCTGGTCTAGTGGCTAACGCGACGGGCTGGAGTTTTGAGACTATGACCGCGGGTTCAATCCCGGCCGGGGGTATGGTTTGTTTGCAATCGTGTCATTACGATTTCTTGAGTCATGCCGAGATAGATTAAAGGTTGAAGACGACATAATAAAGGTTGGCTGGGGACTCACCCACAGCATTCAGGAGGCGGAGGCCCAGATTCTTATTATTATCAGGTGTGGCGTGGGTGGGCAGGTGTAGATCAGAGTTGGTGTGGGCAGTAAGCTTGAGACAGGCCACATACACCCCAGGAGAGAACACCAGCAGGACACACTCAGGCAACAACCAGCGGGTACCATCTACCTCACTTACACCATCCAGTCTCACAAAACCCAGGTGACGGAGCACCTTCTCCAGGAACTCACCTGAGAAACCCCCAGAACAATCCTTAGCCTTGATTTCCAAGTACACAACAAATGGTTATAACCATGATTTTTAAAGAGGTGAACAGGTAAGCCATCGGAAGTCCTCAGTCAGATGACCAAAAGCTCCAGCTGTAGGTCATCATGTGACTAAGACCCGCATCAGGAAACATTTATTCTGTTTCCTGACAAACCTTATACCTTGATTTCCATGTAAGTTTAGTCACAGGTACACATAAATACAATTATCATACATAGGTTAAGTTACCAAGGATAAGCCCAAAAAAGTTTAAGTGACTTCCATGTACAATATTATAGCCAAGGCAGTATGGCTCAAAGTCTAACTCTTAAGTCAAATTATATATATTATTGCATACAAACTACATTACATTGTGGAAGAGAAATAAATTTATTATTCTATTATAATGATTTACACTAACACAAAGATGTAAATTATAAAAGTATATACAACGAAAATACAAAATTACGGTATATATACCTAAATAAAATTGTATTACATTATACATTAAATATAACTTATAAAATATAAATGAAAATGGAATACAGCACGAGTAAATATCCTGGAATTATTAAAATTTGAAAATATAACAATATTCTAGTACTGACACTGGAAAGTCAAAAAAAAAAAAAAATTATATACGTACATAGCATACATATACGTACTATAGTTTATGCTGAATTTAGTGAAATATGAAGTGTAGACGCCCAAGACTTAGTCCTCACCGGGGCTCTAACTCGTCCATTATCAGAGAAAGTATTACTTCCACTGGTTAATTTATCCATTAGTATGCAGATACTTACACTAAGGGAAGTAGTTATTGGGAGGGAGAGTAAGTGAGTGGTGACAACAGACTTGAGGTTACTTACACTGAGGGAGAAAGTATCCGTAGGGAGGGAGGGAGAGAAGGACGATCTGGAAGATTAACTGAAGCAGGAAGTTAACAATACTGATACCTAACACAGCTTTCAGGTATCTGCCAGTGTGACCTGCAATCACAAATATTACTGCTAACAAATACATAACCATAAACACTACTGACAAACACTACTAATAAATACTAGTAAACGCAAACACTACTAGTAATGCAAACACTACTAGTAACATACGCGAATACTACTAGTAGCAAACACTAATAGTAGTAGTAGTAAACTACTAGTAAAATAAATGTATAAACATTCGTCAATATTAACATTTCCAACTAGGACTAAACAGACTTAACGAGACACCAGAGACATGTTGCAAGTTTGCTAGCAGTTCTACCACTTGTTGAACAATAACCTGGGCTACTTTTCACAGTGGAAGAACGATATGGGGGGGGGGGTCGTTCAAGTAGAGTTACTACACCCTATCAGCTATACCAGTCACTTTACACACAGACGGGTCACTACAAGCACACTTTTGCTGCAAGTGCATATTGGTAAGTACAAAACGTACCTCGCATGGTGTGGAAGGTAGGTGCTGGAAGTAATGGTATAGCCATCAGCAGCAGTAGGTACGACAAAGACATTAAACTGAACCTTAGCACAGCACCTGTGGGAAGAACAAACACCTGTTACTAGTACAGTATAATAGAACCTGGTTTAGAAAGACACGTAAGCAAACACTGACATATTTATTAGAAAACGTTTCGGTCCTGGGACCTTGATCACTTCTGAATCACTTCTTGATCACTGAAGTGATCAAGGTCCCAGGACCGAAACGTTCTAAACCAACTTGTCGGTATTTATTACCAAGGTTTATAATATAATACAACCTGCATTATATACTGTACATAATACACAGAGGCATATGCTTCTCGGTATTTATACAGACGAGTTGCTTTATTTTTAAGTGATTATTCTTGACTGGCAGTAAAAAGGTTACATGCAGCCTTTAATGACTCGCCTTACTAGTAGATGGAAGAGCGTCATTTTCAAATTCGTATTTTTTTCTACCTATACCCCCTAGAATCTAGGGCCTAGATGATGTATACAAGGTGTGTAATTATATAGGTGAAAAATCGAATCTTTACAGCAGAAAAGAAATGTACTACCACTGAGTATGGAACAAGAACCCTTACTCTCTCAGCAGGACGTCAAGGGCTTTGAATCCAATGATTCCTTCCCATTCTCGAGGTGTTTTATGACACTCATCGGTTAATTCCCAGCAGTGGTGATTTTGGGGGTAATAGTGGTGATTTTGGGGGTAATAGTGGTAATTTTGGGGGTAGTAGTGGTAATTTTGGGGTAACAGTGGTAATTTTGGGGTAATAGTGGTAATTTTGGGGGTAGTAGTGGTAATTTTGGGGGTAGTAGTGGTAATTTTGGGTGTAGTAGTGGTAATTTTGGGGGTAGTAGTGGTAATTTTGGGGGTAGTAGTGGTAATTTTGGGGGTAGTAGTGGTAATTTTGGGGGTAGTAGTGGTAATTTTGGGGGTAGTAGTGGTAATTTTGGGGGTAGTAGTGGTAATTTTGGGGGTAGAGGTGGTGGTCATGGGGGTGGTAGTGGTTATGGGTTAGGGTGATGGGCAGGAGTATAGGGGGATGGGTGAGATGTACCTGGCTATCAGGGTGGAGTCACTAGGGTCAGCTATTGATCAACTCACCACGCCCGCCTATCCACGCCCACGTGGATGATGATATACTGGATGTAGAATTTATCCTCACAGTCCTCATATGAGTCACACAAGTACAGGAGTGCTTTCAACAACAATTCAAAACATAACATACTGAGTATTTCTACACAACTGACACAGGTACATAACAATCAACAGTTCATTTTACAATGTTATTCAGGCTACGCTAGTTACGCTAGGCTAGACCAGGCTAGGCTAAATTATGGTCAATACGTAGTGAATAAGCTACTAGGTCAATCGGTGCATAAATTTTGCAAATGTGGAGTAATAACAGGGACTTTTGTATTAATTTATGGAACAGTGAAGAAGCGTGACTTTGCCCCATACTGGTGTTACCCGCCCACCCACCCATCAGATCCCCAACCCCCCATTGCTCCTCCTCTCTCTTTCTCCTCCCGGTGTGCCTCATTAGAAGGGAACATTACTCTCGGGCCTCAGTGATGGGTCCCTTAACTGACCATCACCATCTTCCTTCCCTCCACCTAAAACTATCAACCTCTCTCCTTTTTTTTCCTCCTCCTCCTCCTGACCCCTCTCTTCCTCCCTCATTCCCTCACCCTATCCGCCCTACCACTCGTGTATATTAAGTGTCACAGGGTGGCATTGTTCGGCTTCCAACTGAAACGAATTGGGTTTAATACCCATACACGGCGAGAAGTACAAGTCTGCATACACTGGTTGCTCATGTTCACCCAACAGTAAATAGATACCTGGGGGATGGAGTGTTCTTACACCTACTGCTCACGCTCATCTAGGGTGAACAAGGATGGAGACCATCCTGGGAGGTGCAACCAGGGTATAGACCATCCAGGGAGGTGCAACCAGGGTGGAGACCATCCTGGAAGGTGCAACCAGGGTGGAGACCATCCTGGAAGGTGCAACCAGGGTGGAGACCATCCTGGAAGGTGCAACTAGGGTGGAGACCATCCTGGGAGGTGCAACCAGGGTGGAGACCATCCTGGGAGGTGCAACCAGGGTGGAGACCATCCTGGGAGGTGCAACCAGGGTGGAGACCATCCTGGGAGGTGCAACCAGGGTGGAGACCATCCTGGGAGGTGCAACCAGGGTGGAGACCATCCTGGGAGGTGCAACCAGGGTGGAGACCATCCTGGGAGGTGCAACCAGGGTGGAGACCATCCTGGGAGGTGCAACCAGGGTGGAGACCATCCTGGGAGGTGCAACCAGGGTGGAGACCATCCTGGGAGGTGCAACAGGGTGGAGGACCATCCTGGGAGGTGCAACCAGGGTGGAGACCATCCTGGGAGGTGCAACCAGGGTGGAGACCATCCTGGGAGGTGCAACCAGGGTGGAGACCATCCTGGGAGGTGCAACCAGGGTGGAGACCATCCTGGGAGGTGCAACCAGGGTGGAGACCATCCTGGGAGGTGCAACCAGGGTGGAGACCATCCTGGGAGGTGCAACCAGGGTGGAGACCATCCTGGGAGGTGCAACCAGGGTGGAGACCATCCTGGGAGGTGCAACCAGGGTGGAGACCATCCTGGGAGGTGCAACCAGGGTGGAGACCATCCTGGGAGGTGCAACCAGGGTGGAGACCATCCTGGGAGGTGCAACCAGGGTGGAGACCATCCTGGGAGGTGCAACCAGGGTGGAGACCATCCTGGGAGGTGCAACCAGGGTGGAGACCATCCTGGGAGGTGCAACAAGGGTGGAGACCATCCTGGGAGGTGCAACAAGGGTGGAGACCATCCTGGGAGGTGCAACAAGGGTGGAGACCATCCTGGGAGGTGCAACAAGGGTGGAGACCATCCTGGGAGGTGCAACAAGGGTGGAGACCATCCTGGGAGGTGCAACAAGGGTGGAGACCATCCTGGGAGGTGCAACAAGGGTGGAGACCATCCTGGGAGGTGCAACAAGGGTGGAGACCATCCTGGGAGGTGCAACAAGGGTGGAGACCATCCTGGGAGGTGCAACAAGGGCGGAGACCATCCTGGGAGGTGCAACAAGGGTGGAAACCATCCTGGGAGGTGCAACAAGGGTGGAAACCATCCTGGGAGGTGCAACAAGGGTGGAGACCATCCTGGGAGGTGCAACAAGGGTGGAGACCATCCTGGGAGGTGCAACAAGGGTGGAGACCATTCTGGGAGGTGCAACAAGGGCGGAGACCATCCTGGGAGGTGCAACAAGGGCGGAGACCATCCTGGGAGGTGCAACAAGGGCGGAGACCATCCTGGGAGGTGCAACAAGGGCGGAGACCATCCTGGGAGGTGCAACAAGGGCGGAGACCATCCTGGGAGGTGCAACAAGGGTGGAGACCATCCTGGGAGGTGCAACAAGGGTGGAGACCATCCTGGGAGGTGCAACAAGGGTGGAGACCATCCTGGGAGGTGCAACAAGGGTGGAGACCATCCTGGGAGGTGCAACAAGGGTGGAGACCATCCTGGGAGGTGCAACAAGGGTGGAGACCATCCTGGGAGGTGCAACAAGGGTGGAGACCATCCTGGGAGGTGCAACAAGGGTGGAGACCATCCTGGGAGGTGCAACCAGGGTGGAGACCATCCTGGGAGGTGCAACAAGGGTGGAGACCATCCTGGGAGGTGCAACAAGGGTGGAGACCATCCTGGGAGGTGCAACAAGGGTGTGATCTCGTTACCACAAGGAAAATCATGCAACTACCCAATTACTGGGGCCATGAGAAACGACAGGGGAAGAGACCGAAATAAAAGAGAAGGAATAAGAGGTGCAGAAACGGGACGAGATAAGTTGGACATGAGAGGGGAAGGGCAGGGGGGGGGAGCAGAAGCAAGTAGGGAAGGTAGCGCGCGCGTCAGACAGTAAGCAGCGGAGCTTAAGGTTAATATAAATGCGTGTCTTAAGTAATGTCAGGTTACAACTGGAGAACCTACTGGGGCGTGAGGCAGGAAGGACTACCACCCAACACCTACACAGGTGCTGCAACTCGACCCTTGTCAACAATCTCAGTACAACCACACAGGAAAGACAGTCTCAGGGTGGTAAAAAGTGGAATCATGCCATTGTGGAATGAGTTGGAAAAGCGGAAGGTGTTAGGTTACTGATTATGTAAGATATTAAACTGGCCAAACGTAACTATGACAACGTAAAATAATTAAAGATAACAGGGCATTTATTATGTATAGTGACTGCTCTAAGCAGCTATACAAAAGAGGAAGTGCTGAAGCATTGAAGCCAAGATACCATAAGAGGTACGGTGCTGGGAAACCACCATGGGTACTGAAAGAGCCTGCTGAAGTCTTATGTAAACCAGTTTCTAATATTTAAGTAGCTAGAGGGTAATTAACCACGGTGTCATAGTTATTTAAGTTAACTAAAGAGAGGCAAGCAGAATGGCTTATTTCCTCTAAATGCTAAGTCCTTCCTCAGGTAAGGACCCGTGTTCTGCTAGGTGGACATGCGTAGCAGGTGTAAGACGACTTGTTCCACTGGTTCGACAAGTCTAAAATTGATACTGCGTCCTTTTTATTACGGGACGGTAAGTCTTGACAACAGTTTACCAGGTAGCAAGACTTCTTACAACACGCAGGTAACCAGTAGCCAGGTACATAGTTTGACCCCTGCTGACCGTGACCGGTGTTAAGGCCTGACCTGGGTTAATGAAGCGGAAATGTTTACCAATGTAAACATGGTGGAGCAACAGCCTTGCTCTCACTCCATTAATATACTGATGGTGCGGGTTAACAAGCCAGTTACACTCACTCACGCCAGGGAAAAACACCTACAAAGAAAACCTGCCTAAACCATACAAATTCTTCCCGGATGCAACAAAGCTCATCTCAGATTAAGAAATTTTATCCAAATAACGTCCTGTAGACAATTAGTGACGAAAAGACGTGTTGCAGAGCAAGTTTTCAGTGGGACAACATTTTGTTTGTTCTTCAATGTCTTCAGCAAAGTTCTTCAGTGAGCATTTTCGACAAGCA